CGGAGGTCATAAAAAACTCCTTGCTACAAGAAAAACATTCAAAAAGGTGATGATCAGCTTCTTTAAGAGACAACTGCCAGGACTGCCCAGATGTACAGTATATGGGGCTACTGGAAACTGCTTGAGATGTTAAGAACGTGTGCTGAAAAGCTCAAAACAGTCAGTATCTTAATCAAATTCGATTTTTTTGGTTTTCCTGCTTTACAGCGTTAAAGGAAAGCGGTTGATGTTTGATTTTTGGTTTGCTGTTATTGGCAGTCTCAGATCACAGAACACAGATTTAAAGTCAGGACGGCTGATGAGAAAATACAATTGAATTAAACTGTGACCATTTTTTACCACTCTGTTACTAATTAGTAATGAAAATGACTCAATGTTTAAATGTTTACTTTTGACTGGACAGCAAACCGACATTACAGGAGCAGCATCTTCCATTACTTTTTCTACCATCAGAACTCTTGCGTCAGTATGTCGTTTGAAGAATAACAAAAATAAACCACTAATCCAAATGACAAATGCCTGAATCACATTATAGAGTCATATGGTATGATTTCATACCCACCTGCTGAATAGGAGCCGTTGTTAACTGGGAGGAAAATATCCCAAATGTTTTTGTGATGGCTCAGAACAACACTCAGCACAACGCAAGCCAAAGCTCACTCAAAGAGGCCTCACTCCTCCAGCCAAAGGAATGGCTAAACAACTCACTCCTACTGCCAGACCTGCAGTTGGACCCCAGCATGAGTGTGTGTGTGTGTGTGTGTGTGTGTGTGTGTGTGTGTAGGTATGTGTCTTTTAGCAGAACGGTAGGAGTAGTAGTATTTATAACAGTGGCCGTCTCATGTAATTGATTCCACAGAGGAAAATTCAGTGAAACAGTGTAATACAGTTTTAGAGGCCTGCTCACAATGACAAGATATAATATTTTGCTATTATACAATAATAAACATATAATAATTAGTTAATTAATTGCTAATAAAAAGTAAATAATTTTTTTTAGGTTTTTTAACTTAATAAAACAAGCATTTTGGAGTAAATGACGAATTTATGGAGTAAATGACAAATAATTTTATAACAACAGATTAATTGACAAAGACGAATAATATATAACGTACAGTAAGTAACTATCAGCGTGTATGCTCCTGTGAAGATTTGTTATGAGCATTTGTGTGGGTTGAGTGTTTGTGTGTGTGTCTACGAACAAGAGCAAACCAAGTGAGAAAAACAGAAAGAAGGTAAGTAACCTGCGTCTCCTCTGGTGTCTGCTGTGTGTGTGTGTGTGTGTGTGTGTGTGTGTGTGTGTGTGTGTGCGTGTGCGTGTGTGTGTGTGTGTGTGACACTAACAACGCTGCAAGCGCTCCAGCATATTAGCAGTGAGGCTGTTATTACACTATAATCTGACACTCCACAGGTGGTTCTGGCTGTCTGTAATGATGGCCAACTTTGGGCTTTAGTTATCTATCTGTAACATCAAAACAACACACAGAGCCTTCCAGGACATTCAATCCAAAACACTTCACGGTGCCACGAGTGCAACTATATTGCCTGGGTGTTGGCACAGAAGATGTGATATATTACCTGCGAGTCAAAGAAAAATATTCACTGTTACCACTGTTTAAAAAGCTGTAGGTGTGATAGCAACTGGGATTCCTGTGGACAGCTGTCTAAACAAAGACAACATTACATCTCGTCAATACATTCCCACTGTATCTACAACCAAATTTGCTGGCAGAGAACTTTAGCTATCTACAGCATCATTAGTAAACATCAGGTTTTAATGTCAGCACCTCAGTCCAAAGAGCAAGGGTTCCTTTCTAAATAAATGGTCAGCAATTACACAATGAGAAATCCATTATAGAGGAGATAGAGATACGCTCTCCATAGACAGTAGTCGCTTTAGACCAGAATGCAATGCACCTAATAGACTTTCTCCACTTGAGTAAGTCCTTTACTTAAAATCCAACATCTCTTATGCTTTTATCATGCTATGCATGTTGCCCTTTCAACCATTCCCTGAATGCAGCACATTCCCCACCACTATCTGGAGTTTGTTGAATGTGGAATTATCTAGGATGCCAAAGAAATCCCAGCTGAATTACAAGTAGCAAGTGGAAAGTGACGCACAAAGAAAATGTAATTAAAACACTAGAATATGACCCAGAGACTGCACTGAGCACAACACTGATTATGGCTAACAAGAATCCGGAGGTGGATTTTCTTTCTTCATCTACATCCTTTAACGATGTTCTACTCCACAGCTCCTGCACAAACACCTCCACATTCCAGCTCCCCCTGAACTCACCTCTACACTGGAAAGCCTCCTTGAGGCTGAGCAACACGTCAGCGAACCACCGTACGTCATTCACCAGCTGCATCACATACTCCGGGTCCACTCCTGGTGCCCCCATCAGGTGAGACGTTAGCCCCATGCTGCTCAGAGGATTGGGGTTCTTGGAGCTTCGGCCCATATCCCAGGTCTTGGTGGATCCGGCCGACAGAGATCCCGTGTGGGGCTTGGGGAGGTGTCGTGGCAGACCCTGGGTGTGCTGAGTCCCACCGCCACCACTGCTGCTGCTCTTCCGTAGCATCCCAGCAGCCACTCCAGCTGCCACCCTTTACAGGGAGTACAGCAAGCCAGCTAGCCCCTGAACACACCAAGCTGCCCCGGTCCCTGGTTGGCTGAAAGACAGAGGATGATGAGGTGAAGGTGATGTGTGTGAGTGTGGTCTCCTCTCCAAACTCACTCATATACTGTGCAACTGAATTGTTAAAGACCTGTAACACACTCATAGTAACCACTAAAGCCAGAGGATGAAGTATAAGCTTAAAAATAAACAGCACATCCATTTGACCTGTAAGTTAACTAGATTATCACTTCACCATTCTTACAGTTTCCTTGTGTGTTATTTTTTAAATTAAAACTATGTGTCTGTGACACTAAGTTTAGAGTTTACAGCTAACATATATTTTAAGGTCCCTTTTCTCTCCCATAAAAGTCATTTAATGTCTTAAAATGTTCTCTTTTGTGTCACAAACAGATGTACATTACTTACAGTGGTTGTAAAGCTGAGCCACGTTTGGCTGTTAACGTCAGCTAGCTTGTTAGTAAAATAACTTTATGTGTCAATACATAAAAGCACACATTTTCAACAACAAAAAAAAAGGAAGAAAATAATGAAAACAGGCACGTTTAGAAGAAAATAACTTAGTACATGCATGGGGGGGTATTTACAAAACTTCAACAACATCGAAAACAACGCGACACTCAGCATTTCTTTTTCCGGACAGTTTACACTGAAGAGTAAGATGCTGCTGCTCCGGTAAAAAAAAAAAAAAAAACAGTCGACTCGGGTCATAAACTGCTTTGCTGGCACAGCCCAAAAAAAATTATTTAAAAAATAAAAACCGCAATTTAAACTCACCTGCTCGGCAGTTTACTGACATAATGGCCACCGTATCCAAACAAAACTTTGCTTAATGGAGCCTCTGAAAACGCATGAGTATTTCCGTTAGAAAAACCAAACTCTCACAGCGGCCTGAAAGTTGTCCGCTTTGAGTCACTGTACATCGAAAACTAGCCTACAATCAGCAGCTCTCGAGTCAATCGAAATTTACGAGTCGGGTTGTCACGTGACGGCACACACGCGTTGTGATTGGCCAGATCCCCTCCACGGCAATGGGCTGTGAGGCTTTCAAGTGCTGGCGGACGTTTTGGTTAACTCATTGAACTGGGATTAGTTTTACATGCGCTTGCTGAGATAGTGTAATACATTTTTATTGGATGTCTATTAAATTTGAGAGGACTCTTTGAAAAAAGGATATTTGTAAATGTAACGTTCTGCCTCGGCTGAAAAAACATTTAACAAGCCTGTTGTTATCCCATTATCATGACATGTCAACTGAAACTGGATTGTTCGATGACCTCTGAATGTGCTGAAAACCCTTTAAAAAATATATATATATATATATTATAGTAAATATAATAATCGGACTTTGGCAAGAGTATTAGACATGACACAATAGTCCTGGTTTACGGGTAAATAAATCAGAATGCCACATTTGTAACATTTGTGTGACACAAGTGCCACACCTTACATTTGTGTTGTAATGTACAGCATTGCCAAAATTCCTAAATTATGACGTTTTTCCTCTTGGATTATTTTATTGTACTGCAGTGGCAAAATTATTTGACACGGATGAGAAGCACTGAAAGGTTATTATTATTCGTGTTAGTAGTAGCAGTATCATTTTGACATATTAATTATATCATTTATGTATGTTTTTTCAGACCATGGATGTATTGAGTGCATTTATTCTGTTTCTGTTCTGCAGTAAAGAAATTGTGATATTTTTTTAAACACAAGCAAGCATAAGTCTTGCAAACAAATTTTAGACCATATATCATCAGACCCAAATGACAATTAAATAATATCACTACTAGTTAGAATATAAAAGATCAGATCGTCAGGACAGATTAAGCAGATGTTTAAAGGAGTAAATGAAAATGAGGTTTAGGTGTTAGGGACAAAAAATACTGCTAGAGTACATTTTTATTAGATTTGTTAGGTTTTTCCATATCCAGGCTGGGCAAATGAATGATTAGCCTCATTACTCTGGTTCATTTACAGTTTTGATCAATGGGTATTGTCCCAGACAAATCAAATAATAAATCAAACCGAACTACTGGCACCACTGCTGCCATCTAGTGTACATATGTAACCCTAGAAACCACACACACACACACACACACACACACACACACACACACAGTGCATTACAGACCCTGACAGAGTACAGTTTATCTTATCAAAACAGATTTGAATTACAAAAAAACCTAAAGCACTCTAATATTGGCATTGTCCTTCTAATGGGATTATTTATGTTCTTAACTGGATGATACCAACTATTAACTGGAGCCAGTGTTTTAGTTTTTATGTTGAGGTGGTGTTTCTGTAAAAGTAGTGAAACAGATATGAACCAAAAAAAAGCAAAGAAATTCATTTACATGGTTAATCAGTGTTTGTCTTTATTTTAATATACAAAAAGATGGATGTATTCTCATCTAGTTTATATTTCTAAGCATTTCAACTCACAGATAAAATTACCATTCGTACTGTTTTAGTGAAACCAACCAACACACACCTCACTCACTGACACACACACACTCACTCACACACACACACACACACACACGCATCCACACACACAGTCTTCACATAAACAGGGAAGGTCACACGATTCAGTCAAAAATCCAGTCACACTACAAGAAATGAACAATATGTTGACTGTAAATTTAAAAAAAAAAAAAAAAAAGGATTTGCTTTCACAGGATTCACACATGAAAAGGAAGAAACCCTTTACATTTGTCAAGTAAATATATACACGATAATTGATATTTTTTTCTTGTTTTTTCTTTTTGAAGATGAGACTGACTCCATGTTAGTGTTACTAACGAGGTACTGCATGAGGTAACTGGTTTTTCTGTTCAGAAGAGCTGGGTGTAAGACAGCATTGGGAGGTAACAATCAATCACGGCAGATTTTCATTTGTGATCGTTGTTTTTCTGGCACAATACGTGAAAGCACCTGGGTCACGTTCAGCTCACACACACAAATTCAACCTACAGCATTTTTTTTGGAGGCTCTAAAGTGTGTCCTCATCAGAACATGATCCAGGTGTGATGGGATGTACTTTATTGATCCGCAGAAGACGACTGCTAAGTCACAGCAAAGTTTAATTACATAAACTATGATATCCAAGTGACTATTGCTGTATAATAAATATTGCTGGACCCTTGGACCACGCACATGCCACTCTTTACATGAATCGTAATGGGGCTGCATTATTAAAAATCAATCAATCATGTGGTTATAGACACATAGATGATCTCCAAACACTAAAAACATTGTTCTGTATTGATGGTTTTTTTCCCCCACACGTTCTTTACCAAAACTGCACAGGAGCAAGCGTTACAGACCACTGTTAAAATCACCATCGTTCCACAGCACTAATCAAAGCACAACAGATGAGCCTGTGTGTCCAACGTGGCTAAACTATCACTGAACAAGTCTGAACATCACATCAGCGGGTTAATATTGAGGTAATACTGTTCCAACTGGCATTTTCCAACAGGTGGCAAATCACAGAAGCCGCCAGCACCAAACCATCAGGGATATTTTTTTGTTGTTTTTTTTTTTTGACCGTTTTCGATGATATACACACTAAACTTTCTAATGTAAGTGCTACCTACACAGCTTCTGATCCAGAGGAACTGATACCATTATTATAGAAATCAGTAACACAACCACCATTCTTGAAAGAAATTGAAGGAAAAAAATGTATATATATATATATATATATATATATAAATCTGTATATATACACATATTTTTTTTGTTTTTAAATCACAGGGCTAGTTGTTAAAATGACTTTTAAATATGTAGAGGTGGAACTGAGAGATCCCTTTCGGTTTCTGTGAAATGAGTAATGCCCTGATTTTGTATTTTAAAAAATCAGATCAGTGTTCGGCCACTGTGTGTACAGGTCTATTTACAAGAATCTGCCTCTCTTCTTTTAGGTTTGTACAGCATTAACACTGTGACAACTGGTCAGGCTCTAGAAAGAAAAAAAAAAAAAAAAAAAAAAATCGAATCTCCACAGACAAAGAGGCCCAACCGGCAATAAAATATCTCAACTACTAAAACACAATAAAATACATAACACAACTTGATATAATACATGTAGAAAAAGCCTGAGGTACTTGTCAGAATATCTGAGGTCAGTCTGGAGGAGTAAGCAGCTGAGAGCTTACCCGGTCAAAAAACACAAAACAGAAAATTAGCCTCACATAATATCATTAGCGTTATATTAACAAAGAATACATGTACATCTACAAATCCTTGAGTATCCTGGAATAGTCACAGCAGCATAACGGACATTCAATGTATGGTATTCATGTTATGGTACAACTATGGCATTGCATTTGAGACAAAGGCAACCATTTGAGCTCTCCTTGCATGATGTACAGTGACTGAGGTATCTGGGGACTGGTGTCCAACTGAGTCTATTGAACAAACACCCATGAAAATTAAAAACAGACATGTTGCTTACTCAAGTATGGCCCTCGCAAGGATAAACCTCAACTATCTGTCCATGGTTCTTACTTTAAAAACATGCTCTCTTGTCCATCTCAAATCATTTAGTCTTTAAATTCTCTCTCTCTCTCTCACACACACACACTCACACACACACACTCAGACAGGTAAAATCAAGAATGTGTAACATTGCAACTCCAGGCAGCATCCGTCAATGCCCCTGGCACTGGCAAAGGAGTAACTCTAAATTTCTACAATTAAAAAACAAAACGAATCCAGGAATATGTCCATGATAGCTAGCTGGATAGCTTGGCTCTCAACGTAGAGAAAATGTTCCAAAGAAGCCTACTGGATACCTGAGAGGTAGTTCCCCGGTGACAAGACGCTTGTCCCAAATCTTCAAAAAGTCCAAAATGTCCAATACAACTGCTCAGCTCCCCATTTCGGCTCCTCCCTTGCGATTAAAACAGGTGTACTCCGATTTGTTTTGATCTTTTTTTTTTCCATTCAGAGGCATTCACAGGTTTAAAATAAGGGAGCACACTCGAGTTTAAAAATCGAGAAGCTTCGACCCCTGAGGAAGATGAATATATTTTGTCTAACAGTCTCAAAACGGTTCCTCCGAGGTGTGCAGCACGTCGTCCGAGGTTTGGAGCAAAGGTTCATTTCATTTGGCCGCAGACGATCATGACCAAGACAGGAAAACGACAAAGAAACAACTTATGAGGTAATAAAAATAGACTAACACAAAAGAAATACATGAGGTAATGACAACATTTAAGATTTGACACATGGGTGTTATCAGATGTGCCCATCACATAACTTATTACTACAGCAGATGGATGTGTTAGTAGGATTTGACTTTAAACACCAAAAACATTAAAAACAGGAAAAAAAAAAAATACCAGTATTGGGATAAAATAGCAGCTGCATTCACGTTGCTAGTTGTTTTTTTTATGCTTTTAAATATTCACGGAGATCCGCTGAGTTTGGATTTGAAAAATAAAAAGTCAGGAGCTCGGGTGAAGGATGGGTTCACCAGTTCAGGTGCTGGACTCTTTGGGAGGTAGGTCCTCGTTGGTAAGAGACGTCACAATGGAGACGGGGCTGTCTGAGGTAGTGCTGCTGATCGTCCTGGCGATCTGGCCGATGCGCTCCTCGACGCAGCCGGCGGACAATCGCGCCTCTGCGTCGTGGTCCCAGCATTCTTCGATGGTCTCGCACATCTGGCTCAGACCCTGTAGCCACAAACGGGAAGTTAGTAAGTTTGTAGGGCAGTTCTTTTTGTAGACTTCTGAACCCAAACATTAAATAAAAATCTATTTCATGGGACAGAAATCCCACACTTTTTCTTGGGCCTAAAAAGGTGAAGCAACAACTGCCCTTATGTTTCAGAAACAACAAAACATAACTGACTCAGAAAACTATGACCTCGGGTGATCAAGCTGCATTCACTGGAAAAACGGATGCATGACATCCTGGTATTGCTGTTGAAAAAGTGCGAGCTGTTCTTCCACTATTACTCACAGGATGTTTGAGCCAGCAGTCCTTGATGACTGGACGCATCTTCTTGTGCACGACCACATCCTGCAGATCCTCCAGGGAGGGATGTTGGCCTATTTCCTCCTCAAACGGCAGCATGAACTCCCCAACTGTACCTTAAGAGAGTCGGTAAGGGCACAGGACAGAAAGCATTACACAGAGATCAAGTCAAGTAAATACTGCAGTGTTTGGATTTTGAAAATCCGAAACTTGCGCTCTATTTCAAAAGACTGACTTCCCACACTACGCTTTAAACCTGTATCAGATGGCTTTCCCCAGACTAAACGAAAACTAGCCCTTTGTTTATGAGGTCAGCCTGAAACAAAGTGACCTTTCACCTGTTGGCGAAGCAGCATTCCTACACTGTTTCACTCACCGTCGGTTACTGTGCAGCGGGACACCAGCTCCCACAGCACCAAGCCCATAGCATACATGTCTATCCTCAGGAAGGAGTCTCGCTGGAAGTTGATGGCTCCCTCCAGAACCTCTGGAGCCATGTAACGCCTCGTACCCACCTGGCAGGACAATGGAGTCAAGTATATATATGAGTATGAATGATGTTTCTGCTATCAAGCCAATATGTGCATTTTAAAAATAGTGTTATGACACTTTCTTCCCATTGGCTACCTAACCGTAACCTAACAACGAGCCAGTTAGAGCAATCCAGAGAAGACTTTTGCATCGAATCCGGATCACATCCTGATTCACTACTGGGTGAAAGTTACTCTGTAGCCAGAATAAACACTTCTGAATTCTTTTCATGATGAATTATTAACACCATTTCTTAATATCAAACCCGACAATAACAGCCTCCACATGCATTATTTTTACCTTCTTATTACTAAAACACTGACATTTTAACTTTTACTTGTAATTACAAAAGGTTATTTAAGCTTTCTTGACACTGACTGAAATATTATTTAATGTATAAAAAAAAAAAAAAAAAAAAAAAAACTTCTGACCCCTTCCAAGTCAATATTTAGTAGAGGAATCTGTACATTGAAACAGCATGAAGTCTATGGAAACTGTTAGAAAGGCTCACATCAGGTCCGGTATGTGCAGGCACGAAGGCTAATTAACTACTCAGTGGCACAGTTAGGAGCCAGGAAAGTTTCTGCTGTATGAAAACTCTGATGTGGACTGGGACAACACAGAACGTTTTACACATCTCTATTCTAGAAAACGGGCTGTTAGCAGGGGTTAATGGTCACAGACTGAGTTAATTGACAGGCGTCGCAACGGTGCAAAGCTTGCTGACCTTGTTGTTCAGTTGTACCACCAGTTTAACACACATCCCAGTGACTCACCATCTTAACATGTTGTTCAATTCTGTTAATATTGTTGTTAAGATATGTTTTCACTACATTGTTAATGTGTGTTGTTTCATATTTATCATTAGCCAATGTAGAAATAAAAACCAGTACTAAAGTGACTCCCCACCTGGCCATGAGTATCTCCTGGAGGTTTTCCTGGTTCAAATCGTACAGCGAGCCCAAAGTCTCCGATGATTGCAGTCAGATCATCTCGTAGCATCACATTCTTACTCTTGAAGTCCCTGGGAAATTAATTTCAGGACAAATTTGTTACAACGCTGCAAGTAAAGAGATGTTAATCATGTATATCAATCCATGGACTCCCAGGGTAAATGACAAAATAAAGCACAACCAGAAGAGGGCAGTAGCAATTAAAGGTTCCACATAAACCCAAATGTAGTCTGGTGTTCAGTGCTTTGAGGTTCAGGAAGGAGTTTGTTTTGCCTACCTGTGTGCAATAGTGGGTTTGGGCCCCTCTCCCTTGTAGCTGGGAATGTCCTCATGGAGGTAGGCCAAGCCGCGGGACATGGTCTCTGCTATCTGACACAGCTCACTCCAGGTCACAGTGTTACCCTTCAGGTGGTCTGTCAGTGAGCCCTGCACACACGTAAACAAGCACAAGATTCAGAAGGTAAGGATTAATAACTGCACAAGAATCTTTATATTCGCATAACTCAGCTTAAAATATCATTAAAAATACTGACAGAAATGGAAACATCTAACCCAGCAGATGACACATGCACCCATGGCACTGAGACAATAACTGTAACTAAATATGTTTGTGTCACTGCCATGGATAGCGGGTGCTACAAGGACGAGCATTAAAAGTCATTACACAAATGTTATGCTACAGTTGAGGTTATGGTAATTATTGTATAATCCCGTTTAGATATATTAATACCTTTGTTGAGAGGACCAATGAACAGGATGTTCTGGTTGCCTCGAGGTGTTTAAATCATACGGTATTATTGCAGACAAACACGTTATTACTGCCATTTGTATTTGGCATAAATGACTATTATTTTTATACTACATGCTTAAAATACAAGCTGTATAGCAACACAATTCTGTCACTTTAATGTATTCTGGGTACTGCAGACCTGCCATAAGTAATAAAATCCTCTTTTTATTAATAAAAGCTGTGATGCTCTTTTGTTGAGGTAAATAAAAGGCCTCTGCCAATATTGGAAAAAAGTTCTAGTAAACATGGCCCTATATCTCGCCATGAATTTGCCATATATGGGTGTATATATATGGGGACACTCACCCTCTCATGAAACTCTGTGATGAGCCACAGCTCCGTCTCCAGGTTGCTTCCGTGCTTCTCCGCAGCGATGTAACGCAAGAGGTTTTCGTGTCGCATTCCCGGAGTCATGAATATGTCCCGCTCGTTATGCCATGACTGCTTGTCCTACACAAACCACACAAAGTTTTTGTTTAGGTCTTGAGGATTTATAAAAAGCCCATTTGAAAATAATGGCGTCCTTTGATTATGTTACACAATGCAGCTAGCCCCTTTTTGTGCCTCTCACATCTTAACATTACATTCAAGTCACAGCATTAAGCACCCGGTTTTCCAAGAACTACAGCCACTCTTCCTAGAAGTCTCAGAAGCCCATTTAACACTTAAGGCTGTTATTATGGCATTTCCAGAACAGAAGACTCTGAGATGGAAAAAGATGTTTGACTTATTGTACCTCTTTTCCCCAACAAAGATGGCAGCCAGGAATGACATATATCAGTTACATTGGCATTTACTGATGTTACCTTCAAATGTTTTATGTTTTCATTCAAAAGTACTTTAACATTGTGCCGTTTTATTAGTCTAAACATTTATTTTTTATTGTGCAACAGAGTGGATATGAATTCCCTCAGACGGTTAGAAGAATCTTTGAGGACTTCAGAAATCAAAGGGACAAAACTGGAGCAACAAAGCAGCATTCGACAAGGCTAAAAATGATTAGACTGCTGACATACCTGAACGGGGAAGATCTTGACAGCAACATATTCGCTCATCAACTGGGCCTTCCAAACACAACCAAAGCGTCCCCTAGCTTTAATTTCCAGCAGCTGTAGTGGTTTCAAACCCACCAAGGGGGATGGAGGAGCAGGTCCAGGATCCTGAATAACAAGGAAACAAGGAAAACCAGTTAAGCGTTGTTCCTTTTGCTAAATCTATTTTTAAAGATGTTAGCACTTCTTTTGCCTTTTCTACAAATTACTACAGGAGTACAACAGAAGAACTGGGTAATTAGGATAAGCAGCAGCAGTCACCATGGTGGATGAGCAGTACAGAAACTCAAACTTCATGAAACAGATTTTAAAAAAAGATGAAGCGAGAGACTGATCTCTTAGTGCCACAGATTAGCACTTTAAAGAGAGAGAGTCAGACTGGGGGTATAGCCTCTCTCTCACCTCGCTCAGGTCTACGTGGCCGTAAGGAGGTTTGCGGTGGCGGTACATCCACAGGGCCAGAACAAGGGCCAGGGACAGCACACAGAGAGGCAGCAGGGAGTACACCAGCACGTTGAGCAGGGACGGCACTCGGGGTGGAGGCCGTATTTTCACTGTCAGGGAGGAACAGAATGATTACAGAATGTCATCTTCATGACTTGTAGGTTATCAGCAGCATCACGAGTGTCCCCCACAGAAAGTGAGGCCTGGTTTTAAAAGAGATGGGATAACATTTTATCTAGATAGTCCAATGCTGATCATTACTGACCAACTCACTACAGTCTGCAACAAATAGGGAAGTGATGATGTGTTTAAAATCTTCTTTTCACTTCGATGTCACTGGCTTGTCAGCTGAAAATCAGTATTGGACTATGCAAATAAAAAGGTACCGAATGCTGCAACACCACATGCAAACAGTGCAAATGACCTCAGTATACTTTGACATTCAGCAAATTGTGTTATAATAGAACATGTAACTTATGTTTAGCACAAAGTCTATGTCAAATTCAACAGTGTTTTAAATATACTGTGACATACAGGATTTTTTTTACTATATGCAATGCTAAGCTTCACTCCCACTAATTGGAGGGGAAAAGCAAAGACCTTTTTTGCTTGTACTATTTGTAGGATGCATTTGCCGCTCACCTCGGTTGCCACTGCCAATCATGTCAGGAAGGTGGGTGAATCGTTCATTGCAGTAGTTGCCCTCGCAGCAGCAGAAGAAGACCTGAGGGTTTTCCTCCATGGAGACACACTCTTGCCTAAAACGGTAGATGACACACCTACATCAGTGCTTTGATAAACAAATGTCGAAACAAGATACTTGTCAAACCCATGATAGTAAAAGTAACATATGGTTTTGTGATGTAGACTAATTTGAAGAACCAAGTAGGTGAGAGTCTGACTCTCGTTTTTCTCTTCGCTCTGCTTCTGCTGTACAGAAACCCTCTACGGACAAAAACATATTCATCCTGTTTATTGTCATAACTCTGAGTTTTACTCATGTACTCTGTATTACTAGTAATGTTGCCATAGTGTGAGCCACACAGAGGTTCTAACACTTTATGACTGCGGAAGTGCTCTTAAATACTATAATTAGTCTTTGTAACGTCGCTCAGCTTACTCACAATTGCTCACCCGTTCATCACTTGCTGGAGCCTTTCACTCAGTTTAAACTGATCAGAATAAAACTTATTTTTTCCAGGTCTGATATTCCCTTAATAGTTGTAATTGCAGCCAATACCACTTCAGACCATAGCTATTTCCCCTGAAACTGTCAACAAATTTGTACATGTGTCTAAACCTACAATTTTTGCACATCCCATTTCAGCAAAGCTTTTGAAAATATTCTTTTGGTTGAATGTAGTCCTTGCTTTTCTACATTAACATGCCACTGTGGCACTCTAAAAGCAGCCATCTTATCCTTCGAAATACTTTCAATAATTACAAAAGGAATAAAAAGGCTAAAACACACCACAAAAAAACAACATATTTTATTGGTGGCTAGTGGTCTTTATTATTATTATTGGTCTATACACACACACACACACACACACACACACACACACACACACACACACACACACACACACACACACACACACCATTTAGGGCCTAATATTATACTTCTGTTTTCTCCAGCTTGCCTTCATGAGCCACCAGAGCTTGTTCAAAAATGCTGTGGCTTGAATATTAAAGACTAGAAAGTTTCATCGTGCCACACAGCTCTGCACTGGCGGCTGATAAAGGCTAGTTTAAAATTCTCCTCCTGACTTACGAAATCCTGAGTGGTCTGGTGACACCGTATCTTTCTGCCATCATCGGGGTATGGACACTGAGCTACACACTGCACTGTCGATACAGACTATCTGGTTTTTCCCAGAAATACTAAGTGTGAGCTCTGATAGCTGCAGAGCATCTAGCCAACATAGAAGTTGGTCCTATCAAAGCAAAACATGATTATGAACCTAAACTTTTTATTGCTCCAACCTGTTATAATCTGCATAGATGCTTGCATGTGTTGTAGCAGTAAGTTACACTGGAGATTACCCGATTGACAGAAAATGTATCTAGACCTATATTAGTCGTTTTAGTGGGGGTTTTACAAGCAAATATGTCTGTTCCGCTTTTCCCTAGTTTAGATCATTGTAAATTAAATATCTTTGGGGTTTGGACTGTTGATCAGCCTAAAAAGGTCATTTGAATGTGTTATTTTATCTGGCATTTTATGACACTTTAGGCCGTTTAACAGATTAAAGTCCAGTGTGTAACGTTTAAGAGGATCTGTTGGCTGAAAAACCCTAACCCTAATCCAAACCCATAACTTTATATTTTCATTAGTGTATAATAAACCTTAGAATGAGCTGTTTATATCTACAGACGACACGGGTCACGCCTTCCATGGAGTCCACCTTGTTGAACCACCATGTTTCTACAGTAGCCCAGAAGGGACAAGCCAAAAACTGGCCCTAGATAGGGGGGGGGTTGTGTTTGTTGCATATCTTACTAGATGCCACTAAATCCTACACACTAAACCTTGATGTATGGCTGTTAGCTGCAGCTCTATATACTTCTATTCTTAGCTTCATGTTCATTTCATGTTTTGTTTCAAGCGTGGATGTTTTTAGGGCTGCAGCTGATGATTTCCATACTGATACATCTGTTGATCCATCCAACAACATGATATCTTCAAAACTGACGGTTTTCTAAACGCCAAAACCCAAATACTGAATCTACTGTGAAAAAGAAACAGCTACTCCTCCCACTGGAGAGGCTGAAAGCAGCAAGTGTTTAGCATTTTTGCTAGATAAATTATTCAAATAGAATGTTTTTTCTCATTTTCTGTCAACTAATTGAGGAACTGACATGTATTTTCCTGGAGCTTGTATTTTCCGCCTCAGGTGAAACAGATAAAGATGTGTTGGGCTACATGTGGGCACATATTTTTGTTGTTCTTGCTGTCAGTCACTCTGGGTATGAGCCAGACAACTAAAATATAAATATAAATGCACAGCGGGGATGACCTCGCTCAGTGACCCGACCTGTCATAGCAGTTGAAGTCGTCCAGCCAGCAGCCTTTCTTCACCAGCTTGATGGTCCCTGAGGAGTTGAGCCAGGAGGCATAACAGTGCAGTCGCTTGTCCTTCTCCCCCTCGCAGCGCTCGAAGCCGCTCTGGTTGGTCCTCTCCGTACGCCAGTTATCATTGTAGTACACACACTCCCGGGTCTCTGCTTCGCCCAGACTGTACCCTGAGACGGACAGAAGGCCTCAGTCAGCTCACATCGTAATGAATTGAAACTCAACGGCGGAAGCACCGACATATGGCACAGGATCCGCTCTGTGCCACGAAGAAACATCTCTGAGCAGAGCCTCTATCATCGCTCTGGCACACGGCCAAGTTTGAGAGCTCTCTGTAGTAAAAAGGGAGTTCCTCTGGGCTAAGAAATTGTTGCTGAATAGTAGTTCAGCATAATCCCATTCACCAAAAGATCTTTTCAGAGAGTAACAACTAAAAAGGAGGAAAAATGACAGAATTTAATTAGCTAAAGAAAAACAATAGTATGCCCTGCTGTGGCACAGAAACACACCACACACACACCAGCATGCTACTATACTATAGATAAGGCCTCCTGTATCCTGCTGGAGTGTGACACATCTGGAAGGACAGATAAGACCTTCTTCTTTAAGGGCTTTTACTGTCATTTAGCAGGAAATAGTTCCCCCTAACCAAGGCGAAATGTAACAATAGCTGTCAGTCTCCTACTATTGCACAATTCCTAACTGAGAAAGGGTTGTATTCTTCCTCTTTGTGGGTTTAATGTTGGGCACACTCGAGCGTGTTTTGATGGATACTGAAGCAGATAAATATGCTGTACGTGTAATTCACAACAGCGCTTGGACATTCATGGCTAATCTTTGTTCACAGAAAAAATAGTGCATGTCTCTTTAAATCTCTGCCTATAGGAGGCCACCCATCCCCCAGTGTTACCCCCACCAACCCATTACACACACACACACACACACACACACCCCTACACACCCCCTCTCTCTCTCTCTCTCTCTCTCTCTCTCTCTCTCTCTCTCAGGCACGCATCCACTTACACTTACATACATTTAGTTGTCCAGAAGCACACAATGGATTTCATTATAGCAAATAGGGATGCATGCAATGGCCAAACATCATGCTCATTATTAAGGATGGAATGAGGGAAGGTAGTAAGGAAAAAAACAACACACACACACACAGCAGTGATGCTCAATGCTCCATTGAGCCGAGATGGCATTTCTGATATCTCTGGTCACATGATCCGGGAGGACTTTTACTACAAGATCATTCCCCAACCCCCCTCCCTCTGTCACTTACAGAGGCTTACACCAACAACATGAATTCAGGAGAAGCAGCTTACTATAGCCTACACTCCGAGCCCTAATCTATAAACCATAAAGACATTAGCCACAGCGATATTTGGCACACAAGAGACAGCTGTGCCTCAATGAAATTTTTATTATAGTTCGAGGAAAATCTAAAAACGTTTCGTGAAGTGTGTGAAGGGGGGGGTTGGATATTATTGTTCTCAAAGCAACTGTTTAGTCACAATAAGGGGTCCCTAGCTAGGGGGGACACACAATAAAAACACCCCTCGTGTGAGTCGCAAAACAAAAAGAGCCAAACAAAAAGAAAAAAACAACCCCTCATGTTCAATTTCACGTGGTACAAAAGTCAAAGAGCTATGTAACAGTAACCTCGATCCAGGGGTAAAGATCTGACTTCAGACAAACAGCAGCTGTCCCTTCAAATCAAACAGCCATTGATTTATGAAAATCCTCACAGAGGAAAAAAGTGTGTGTTTTCAAAGGCTCTTGTTCGAGCTGTGACCACAAACAAGAGTGCAGACCTGAGATGTAGCCTATAAGGTTTCAGGATGTTGATGCAGCTGCTGCCTTCTATTCCTGCCACTGTTAAAGAAAGGCGACAGGGACGCAACAGTTTCACATTGGGAAATATATTTTTAGGGGAATTTCTCAACATAAAAGACGGCAGTTAATGTCCTTTAACGTCATTTCTAAAAAACGAAAAGTCGCAGCCATTGCTAGGATATTGCCCGTGTGTAAAATAGATGTGTTAGAAGGAGGGCAAAGCGAGAAAAGGCGATTATGGCTAAGAAGAGAATAAAACCCCCACAGCTGAACCGTAGTCCACTGCTAACAAAGTTTAATCAGCCAACAAACATAAACTCGTTCGCGGGTCGACATTTCAAACGCAGATAATTTCCACACACACACACTAATGTGTCTGCCTCGGGACGGAAACGACTCAGGGAGGAAAAAAAAAAAACTGTTGCAAATTCCCAACCAACAATAGCAGCTTACCTGCGCATAAAGTTCCCAGAAGAAGTGAACAAGTCAGCCACGAAAAAGACATGTTCCGTTTTAAATACAGGACAGAGGTTTCCCCCACTTTCCGTCGCGAACATTAAAACTCAGGTTGTCCAAAACATCAGTCCAGGATCAAAACGACCACAGGCCTCCGGTCCCTCCGCAGCCTAACCACCACCACCACAGCGCGTGTCAATAGCCGCGACGCTGCAACAATGTTGCAAGAAAAGATAGGAGCGATTAATTGACTGCCAGACTGTTAGTCCATTAATAGGTGCGGCATTTCGCATCGGAAGTGGATCCAAAAACCGAATGGGAAGCCGTTAAACCATCCGAGACGAAAACCCGGCGCTCTTTTTGAGGTTATTCACTTGAATAGAAGCACCGCTGCATCGGGAGGTCGGTCGGGGTTTACATGCATGTTACTGATCTGTGTCCAAAATGGCTTCTAAATGGGGAATGGGCTGCAAACAGGGAAACCCGGATGTGTAAACACAAAGAGGGGAATTCAGGCAGCCAGCGAGTGACCTTAGCACGACACCGTAGATACACGCCTGGAATGGCTTTGTTTTCGCCTCGTATCGATATTTATCACATTATTTTTTTTATTATAGAAAGCCAAACGGAAGGTATATGAGGTGTTGGAGAAAGATGTGGGTTTTTTCCACGTTAGTATTTGTCCCGGTTCCAGCTGATACAACACTTGCACTTTCTGTGGTCAGAGTTGGTATTTTACAGTCCACTTTTCGGTTCTTATCATTTAGCCCGGGGTTTAAATGAGGTTTTCGGGTAATGCACACTGGTTTTTTTTACTGGTTACACGCAGAGGATAGTGCACTATTTTTAGCTTCTCCTATAAAAAAAACGTGTTATTGAAATAATGTGCTGCTGTATTTTAACTATAAAAGAACAGTAGATACAAAATCTAGATTCCATACAGTCTATTTTCATTTTATTTAGAGCACATCAATACAGTTAGCCCGCATTTGCAAATTTAAAATCTAAAGAAGCTCGTATATTACTTAAGTAAAATAGTATAGCATTCTGCTCGTTTCAATGTGCTAAATATCTCTTACAGCCTCACAAATAGAATAATAAATTCAGTTGGTTTTTGTCTATCTGAATGATATTTTATGCATAAGTGGGAGTGCTAAAAATAGCTGACCTAATTTAGAGTAAGAGGATACAATAAATGCTATTTAAAATGTATTCGTTCTAATTACTCATTTCACCACGAGACAGTGTTAAATATAAAACATATCTCACACTGTAAAACTAAAATAGAGCCCAACCGTAGCTCATAATGAATCATTTTTATTATTATTACAAAACAGGAAGCATATGATCTTCCAAAACATAATGTTCTTTTAATAGGACTTCTGCTGATACTTCCTAAAGAATCTGTATCTAGACCATCCTTTTTAAAAAAAAAACATTTTTTTTTAAAAAGGATGTTTTTGTGTCAAGGGATAGGTCAACCTACCCACTCATCAAGTCTCCCAGACGACAGACAATCACTTTTAGAAGTATTTCTTTCAAAAGAGTTAAGGTTCGAGTCATTTTCCTCAGACTAATTGGGTATGCTTCTCTTTTATAATCCCCCCCACTTAAGAAGAAATGCGTACCTCCATTAGAGCAAGTAATCAAGGCTTACTTATGGCATAAAGCAGACAGTTTATAATAAAAAATATCATTGCACATAGTTTGCATTGGAGCATTTAATACAAGCTCTTTCAAAACAGAAGTCCTTTGTGTAGAAAAATAAATCCCATCATCAGAGAAAATCAGCATTGACATTGTTAAAATGCCATTAAGCAGTGCTCACCGGTCCCTCTCTCTTTCTCGTCTTTGACATCCAGACTAATGGCATGTTGGTGACACCCAGCCAATTCAAGCAGTAAATGGCTTAGGAATAAGGTTAGCCATAGGTAATCGCCCTCAAACTAGTGCCGTTGAGTGTAACTCAAGACAAAGCATTTCCTCATTAAGCTATCCTATATTGACCCTGTAACTCAATAGAGGCCATGAGCGAAACCTTGTAAAGATACATGATCTGTTGTCATGACAGTTGGAAGAGAAAGCACATAAGTGCTCATTAAAGGTCCAAGAGCCACGGCCATGGTGTGACATTCCTTGAGGAATAAGAGCATGTGGGGAAATGATGCAGTGGTGCATAATTTCAAAAAAACAACCATAAAATAATGAGGTAATTGTGTTATAAAAGGCTGTTAAATACAACGTATGCCCGTCTGTCACTACTTACACTGCATTGTAACTATCATACATAAATAATGCATACATGTTGTGTACATTACATGATGAAAAACTGGATATAAGCTTGGATTTAGGAGGATAAACTCTTAATGGACTAGATTACTTAATACATTATTCATAATACTTGTTTCCATTCTTTGCATTCAAAGGAGAATCCCCCCAAAAATAAAAAAATAAATCCAGATATTTTTTCTGTGTTGGTGTCATTGTTGTTCAAAGTCCCCACTGTGATCACGTTGCAAACCCCGAGGTGAGCGTCACGACTTCACAGTAAAGTAGATAAATGACACTAGGTGGTAGCAGAGCTCCCCGGGGCAGGTGCTGCTTCAACCTGTGCAATATCTCTCTTTCACTCTAGATTTATACACTGTATATGTAGGGAGGACACACAGTTTCTATTGTTCACTGCTGACTGCCTAACACTCACTTGTATGAGGGAATGTGTTTCTAAAAGGCTGGTTGCCTCCTTTCTTTTGTCTTTGACAGTTTAAATGAGAGCACATTGTTTTGTTTTTTTATCAGGCTGCATTTTTTTTTTCTTTACTACTAAAGTAATTCAGTTTCTCTCCTTGATAAATAAAATGCCCACCTATCTATCTATTAATCTGTGCTCAATGCTATCCACAGTGTCTCATGTAACTTGGTAATGGATCCATTAGTGTGAGGAAAGGCACAACACTTATAGGTATTGGAGTTATGGCATATAATAGAAAGCAATTACCTAAATCATAGCCTGCGGCCATTTCTACAATGATTGGTAAGTTAGGAGTTTCATACTGAGTGCGCATAAAGGCAGAAAAAATGGAAATAAGATTGAAGATATTGAGGGTTCACTACTTTATTTCAGCCTTTGAATAATTCAGTACAAAAATAAAACAACAAGCAAAGTCAAACATTTTCTTCATCCTTTATTATTTTACAGCCCCACAGAGTCAGCGGGAGATTACTTGACAGTGTGGTGTGTTTTTCCTCGGTTGATGATCTCGTCCCTGCGGTCGTATTGCCAGCGACAGAGATGAGATGGTTTAGAAATAGTTTGCCACTCTGCGAACAGACTGGATGTTGGGGTTCTCTGCGTCCCACTCCATGTGGGTGCAGTAGCTTCCTCTCTCCACGATGTACATGCGTCCACGGTAGTTGGGCTCCTCATACAGCACCCAGCTGTTTGGGCAAAATGAATAAACAGCTTAAAATATGCAAATATGCTATATACAGTGTGAATCGGGATGGACGGTACAGTTTGTGACATATTTCTGCCAATATTCTGTCTGACTTGGTTTATATACTGTCTAAAATTAGGTTTTAAAGGATGCAGTCAAAATATAATAACATTTTCTTACTCACCTCTTACCATTTAACTGTTAATTGCTGTTAAGTTCCAAAGTTCTGAGATATCCACCTCTAAGAAACATTTATGTATTTTATGTCCTCAATAAAGGGTTGAGAGTGGAGCGATGACAGGAAATACGAGGAAATAGAGGGAAAATGGGTTCATGTTGAGTGCATTAAACACCTTGGCCCCAACACAATGCAGGTGAAATTAATGTTCCCTAGTTATTCAGTATGATGCACAGACTTGCTGTGAATGGAGTCTGTATCTACTCTCTGTGGACACGGTGTGACCTATTCACGGTAACATAGACATTGTTTCTGGAAAGATCTGTTCATTTTTTAAGATAAATCTACCATTATCCATCTTATTGTGCTATTATATAATATAAACATTACTGCTGGATTTCTGTGTTCAGATCTAGACGGGAAAAAAACCAACAACTAAACAAAAAAGTGAAAACTACAAGTGAAGAGTGAGAATTATTCTGTTTCTGTGGGGCTTTTTTGTGAGAGGCGGGTAATTCTGGCCAGGGACATTTGTTGTATGCCCTGTCCTTGTCTCTCTCCCCATGTTTCCTGTGCTGTCTACAGTCTCAGGAGGCTAAAGTTAAAAAAAAATGAATTAATAAATCTTAAAAAAAAAAAAAAATTCAAAAACTTTTGAGTTATCATTGCCTCCATCAATGAAGTACAGTTAACTAAAATATTCTCATGCGCTCCAACCAGGTTAAATCTAACACTAACTATCCCTCTGCTGCAGAGATACGTACGCTCCATCTCCATAAACCCTGATGGAGTTGATGCAGTTCTTCGTCAGGCCTCGTGCCTGCAGGAAAGGACAGTCATCGCACATCTCCACACACTGGCCGCTGAAGCTGTCTCCCTCGAACAGCTCCATCCTGTAGTGCTCTCCATGCTGAGGAGAATAATGACATGGCCTCTTGCTGAGTCATAGCAACAATGTTCGCCTTCACCTCACACTGCGACTGACCGTGGCCTCCTCCTTTATGTGGCGAGGACTGGATTGAGTGCGCAAGCACTTATACAAACATACCTATAGAAATCTAAAGGTTAAATGTACATGTGGAGGATGATATGTATCGCTGGCAGTCTGTTGCTTAAGTGCTCTAAATGTGTGGCTTTTCTTTCAGCTGATGGCGTCAATATGTGATGTTAAAACCTGCAAGTTGCCAATATGCCTCTGTGCTGCAGGCTTAATTCCTGTTTTATTTTTAAGTTATTTAAATCGTTCAGACTTTGATTTATTTGAAAAACAGATGAGGCCACACATATGCCAGTCTGCCAGCTTTTTTAACAACCAAATATTTTTCTGTCCCTGGGGTCTCACACACATACACACACATCACTCCTACCATCCTGATTGGCCTGCAGGAGCCCATGTGATCGTTATGGGCATTCCAGCGCTGGAATTCAGGGTACTCTCCGTGCTCCAGAATATACTGTTGGCCTTTGAAGTCTGGATGGTCAAAGCAGATAAAGGCCCCGCTCTCCACACGGACAGAGTTGACCCTGTTCATGAAGCCGCGGTCCTGGAAGTTGTCGCAGTCGCCGCAGATCTCCAGCTTCCTCCCAGTGAAGCATTTTCCCTCATAGAACACGATCTGTTTTAAGTGAACATTAAGATTTTTTTTTTCTTCTCCTGACAGATACGGAAAATGTTTTGTACATAGAAAGATGCACCATTCAACCCCTTTCAAAGTAATATCTGAGGTTGGACAAACTACATTATTTGTGTTTGACATTTGTTTGTGACACACATGCACACATTTGGGAAGGTTCTACTGTGGCTGCATCACACTCCCTTGTCGTGGTACTCACCTTTCCTGAGTACTGAGACATTTTCCACTGTTTGCTGTTCCAAACTAGTCACACAGTATAAGAGTGGAAAAATTTGGACACCCAGATATATATGGCCAACAGAGAGAGCGGTGGTATCGCGAGGCCGAGGCAACAAAAGCACAACAATGGGGGGTTTAGACATTTTGCCACATGGACAGTTTCCCTTACATGTGCCAGTGCTGATATTGGAGTTTGGCTCTGGGGGGCGAAACAATAGAGGGAGAGATTTTGCTTTGATTGGGCTTTAGGAGTGATGTTGCACTGAGCCAGGGGTTGCAGTGTAATATTTGGGTTGTGTCCAGGTGAGGAGGAAAACAAACAGAGAGGGAAAGTTAAAGCAGAGGTGAAATGACCCAGTGCAAACAAGGCATCAGTCTTCAGACAGGCTGGGCAAGCAACTGGGAACATGTAGAAACAATGAGGTGTGGCCCCATGCCATTTTCAAACTATTTAACTAGGTCTGAGTTTTGATTGTGTCAGGGTGAGCAAAGCAGCCCAGATGTCATACTCCAAAGCAGATTTCCCTCCAGCTTTTCCTTTCAGATCCCTCTCTGTTGTTGTTTATCAGTTGCTGATCCCGAGAGCATCCCTGGATCTATTTAGACCTTGACCCATGAAAATTCGGGAGGAGACTCTCAGTTGCAACATCAAAGACGACCAGTTTTAAGGTTTAGGTGAGCGGAGCAGGATACAAAACAGATAAAGGCTGTTTTTCACAAACTGTATGACTTCATCCCCCCATCTCTTTCCATCTACAGTAGAAAATATAACATAAACATAACATAAAACTTTTCTTAACATTTTTTATTAATAGCTGTCTTGGACTTGGTCATATTTCATCTGCACCCAAAAAATATATTGGTCTTTTGTGCAGCATTTCTGTTGAATTGTACTGTGAATAACAGTTGCTGACGGTGCCAGTCTTTCAGTCTCTTCCATATTTTCATATTAAGTGCTAGTTCAAGTCAATTCAGAGTTTGCATATGTTGGTTAAAGCTTAACCAAAGTTATTACACCTCATATGGGTCAGACATTATCCTTCCTGATAAAGCAAATAAACTGTACCTTTGACTAATATCCTCTTGTCCTCTTAAGGTACAAATCCAACTAATAGAAATCTTTATTTGAGTCTGTGACAAATGCATAAATGAATATTTGCAGTCTCATAAATTATATACAGAAGTGGACAAAGGGTGGGCAGCTCTTGCATAATGCAGGAACTTGAGCATTGGGAAACTGTAACCCCTGAACATAGTGTACCCAGGGTGAGCGAGGTGCTAAGCATATAGACTTTACACAAATACACCATTAATGGGACGTTACCATGAAAGTATGAACGGGTATAAAAAGAGGGAAAGTCGATGAGTACTTCACAGTCATTGGCAGAAACCAACACAGACAAGTCAGCAAGGTATGTAAACATAAAATAACGCCTTTCTTTTTTTCTAATGTTTGAGTTATATCTTATTTTGTGTATTTAACCTAATTTCTTTAAGAAAAAAACATGTTTAATAACAATATAAAATCGATATTAGCATTACATTTTGTTTTGAAATGTCAATAACACTGTGCATTGGTGTGCATGCATGCTAAAACACCTGTTCTTGCTCAGAATTTGTATCATTTAGACTACATATTTAAAATTTGTCCCTATAATCATGAGATAATTATCTCTAAAAAAAAAAAACACTGTTCAATGGTAGACATGCATGTAATCCGGAGTACTGGAAGTATTGTACAGACTGTATTATCAAATCTGTGCTTTATCCTCTCATAGGCTGCAGTAGTGAACAGAACAATGAAGTTGTTGGTCTTGGCTTTGACCGTCGCCCTGCTGTTTACAGCTGGTGAGTCCGTCACTGATTCTCCACTGAATAAACAAAACCTCTGCTGCTGTGCAACAGGGACGACTGCTGTCTCTGTTAGTCTTTTCTGTACAGGAACACAGTCTCAGCAGACTTGTCAGAAACACAAAGGCATTTCTTTTTATTTTGCAACAGATTGTAGGCATACATAACTAAGAAATTAAGGTAATTATGCAAAAAGCCATTGACTTACCTCCTACGAGGCTTCATGCACATCTTTAACTGTTTACTAAACCAAACCCAACTAATCATTTGCAAATATGTATCGTTCCTGGATAGATTCTCACAGAAAACACACCAGCCATACAATAACAGAATTCAAGAAAAACAATGACTGAAATATTTTTTTGCTGTTTCTTCTTCTAAGGTGAAGCCCTGAACTGCCACCGTTGTGTGTCCAAACAGGCTGGAGGAAGTTGTGAGCTCACTGTAGAGACCTGTAAACCAGAGAAGGATGGCTGTGCTGCTGCCAAATTCCTCAGAGCACCACGTGAGTTTCTCAACATATTCTAATCATTAGCAAATAAACAATGGTAGTAAAAGAACAATTAAAAAAAAAAGTATTAACTTTGCTGTGAACCGAAGCCAAGTTCACCGAAGAACATTTGCATGCACACCGTGGCACCAGAATTAGAGGGCTTCAGTGGTGATGTAAGAGAGAGAGAAAACCCCTTAAGACTTCTTGTGGTTAAACAGGATTAGGCAAGATAACACACAGTGGAAAATCAACTGCATGTCAAATCCTTGAAACTGTTTGCCAAGTCATGTAAATATGTCAGAACACATTGTCTCTGCCACAGTGTGGTAGTAAAGGGCGTGTTTGTTGATAAAAGCCAACCTTTTCTATTTCTTTACTTTCATAGATGGCCAGTACCAGAAATGCATGGCTCTGTCGGACTGTGAAATGCTCAAGATGAACGCCTTCATCAATATGAAGTGCTGTAGCGATGACATGTGCAACACTTTTGACAATTAAATGTTAAAAGTTTAAGAAAATTACAACGTAATTTGAACATCAAAGCACTTAAACCAAATGACTCCTGCAGGCTGCTATCACGTGTGAATACATGTATGAATTTAAAGCAGCTTTTCTAAAAAACAAAATTTGCTCTGTCAATCACTTCCCATGAAAAAATAAAATGGTTTGACAAAGATCAAATGCTTGCTCTCATTCTTATGTCTGGAAATCTCTAGTTTTCTTGACAGCCAGAATGTCAAAAACCGACCAAGGTCCAGGGTCCAAATCCATAGTCTGGTTAATCATCCTACAAAATATTAGGAATCATTGGATTCATGTTTAGACAAGAGTTAACCTTATCCATGCTTTATTTTCAGCAGGTTGGGTCATTGTTATGCTCTTTTCTCAAGCGTCCTCAAAAAGGTGCAACTTTCAGCTCATTCAATACACTGCTGCTACTGTTAGACACCTATCAGGGACAAGAAAAGAAAAAAAACCCAGGTATAATTTACTTTAATTTTCAGGACAGAGTGGGTGTGGCTTGATCCGATTTGACTGACAGTGAGCAAACTAGCTACCACCAGATTCAGATTTTAATATAGCACAATCCTAATTGGTGAAATTCAGAAAATAAAAATATATATATATTTTTTAAATCAAATTAAAAATAACCAAACCTGTTAAGCAGAATATTCTGTTTACCATCCATATATAAATCAATTTGAAGACTCTTTAAAAAGGTGCTAAATAAACAAAGTTGCCCTGCCTCCCAGCTGACAAAGCCAAAGTAATTCACACTCAAAGCAGGGCGCTTTACATAACCACTTTTTGCTTTAATGATTACAATCAAAAACATTTGTACAACATTTTCAACATTAGAAAATGGATGCAGATTTTTTGGCTGACAGTAACCGCTATGAAAACAAACTGAGGAACAGAGAAGTGGGTACTGCGTGGAGATGAAGTAGAAAAAGAGCTGTATATTTGGAGGGACCAAACAGCTGGTGATGTATCAGAAGAAACGTCCATGTTAACTTATCCATTTTCAGAGCGTATGCATGACAGACATGACATTTCTCTTATCTCGTTATTTAAACAGAGAAGGGCTCGTAGCCTATATGGGAGCTGCATAATGAGAAGCTAAGATGCGTGGAGCCACTACTATCTCTGGCCTTAGTTACGGTTGTCGTCATTGTCGAGCACAGGAAAACATTTTTTCTGATACACCCAAATGATGTTCTGTGTTTTGCATTAGTGCCGAGCACAGACATAAAGGAAGGGTGGATCATGGTTAATATAAGACAAGGGAACCACCACTTACCCTTTTTTTTTTTATCAGACACACAAAGAAAAATGAGGATGACAAAGGGGAATAGGAAATACTGATAAATAACAGTGGAATCAGAGCCATAAATAGACAGTATTGGATATTTAGGACCCTGGAGGGGTGGAGTCAGCTGAGGTGGAGGAGAACTGGCAGCTAGCCTTCAAGTAACGGGATATCCCAGTGCAGTGTCCTGTGTGTTGATTGGGCGGCTCTACATCATGGAGCAGGACGTTTTTCCTGGCTGCACGCCGCCGTCCATCTTCTCTGCCTCCAGGATCATCCTCCGGAAAACCTCCACGGCCGTCTGAGAGAGAGAGAGAGAGAGGGAACGAGACACATACACACACACACACACACACACACACACACACACACACACACACACACATATAGGATGCTGTCACATGTCTCAGTCACATCACTTTGAATTTCCCAGCAGCACACACAACATCCAGTGGAGCCTCACTGGCTTCAGGCACAACAGAGGTTGCGTTGTTTTTGTTTGCTAACTTGATTTGAAGCAGATAAACAAACTACCTGAATATGAGACTGAGCTATGTTGGGATACACACCCACCAGAAAATGGAAAGAGAGTTTCAAGAATTGATTACTGTTGCTCGTGTTCTTTACTTTTAGCTCATGTTGGCCAAGCTTAACCCTCTTCCTGTATAGAAATGAAAGAATGGCGTATAGAACATGGTGTATCTTGGAGGCTGTGGTAAACTTTTGAACAACTGTTAAACATGCATTTTGTTTTTTGGCCACATGGGGGCGGCAGAGTTGATATACCAATCGTGTTAGCAGACAGTGGCTTATTTACACATCCAAAAGCATTCATTTGGAGTCATGCTTGACGAATGTTAAGTCCAATATCACTCTCTTTTAGTTGTGGTTAGCTGTTCACCAACTCCTGAGGTAAATATATGGTTCTTTTCACTGGTTTACCAACTAATCACTAACTGGGTCAGAGGACAGTTTCATGCTGTGCAGCTAGGTAGTGTACAGTGGGATTGCATTGCCTTTTTTGCTGAAAACAACGCTGATGAGAGCGTGGAGAACTGAGGGGAACTGCAGAGTCGGGTAATAGTCCTCTGTGGGTTCATCACTGTGACGCAACCCTTTTACAATACACACGGTAATTTGATCCACTGTAGAAATATTGATTAGAGCAGCTTTAAATTCAAATACCCTCATATTTCAGTCCTGTTGCTTTACCTCTGGTTACTGGCAGCAATGTAGTTTTAATAATTAAGTTTCTCTTGAAATGACACATGTAACCATCAAGGGCGCGGCCAGATATTGGCCAGAAAAAGATCAACTTTTATATATATGTGAGTATGCTGTTAGAATCCATAAATGGAGTCTGATATAGTGAAAATCCTAAGGAGGCACTCCAGTGATTTATTACAGCACTTCCATAAACCTGGTAGATCCTACACTTCCCATAATGTGAACTTGATATCATCTTTCTTACGCCCCGCCCCCCCCTACTAGTTTCTCTAGTACAAATCTGTAGTATCATCAGGGTTATTTTTGTATTTCTTTTGGAAATGTCCCTTCAGAGCCACAGAAGATGTTATTCAACTGCCCACAGGCTCTTCCCCATGATGAATAAACCCATTTTGATCTGTAAAAGCAGTGGAGTTCCCCTTCATTGATTCTAAATTTAAATGGTACTGAGCCCTTGTCAGAATGATTACACCAAACTTTGGTGATAATTATATTTTGGGGGGGATTTTTTCTTTATTAGACAGAACAGCAGAGAGAGAAGGGGAGAGAGAGAGGGGATGACATCCAGTAAAGGGCCCCAGGCTGGACTCAAACCTGTGGCAGTGCAGGTCGGACTCAAACCTGTGGCACTGCAGGAAGGACTCTGACACGCTCTACCAAGTGAGCTACCGGGGCGCCTGACCTTTGTGACAATTTAATCATCAAATTCACAACAACAGCTATTTATTACAGCCGGGTAATAGCAGGCTAAAAATGTAGTTTTAATAGTTTCATTTGTTAACAGATAGACAAATATGACAAACAACATAGACAAAGTACTTGCTGCTGAACAAAATCTCTGCAGCCTCGGCTCTTTACCTGGTTCTCTTTAGCTGAGGACTCCATGAAGGCAGCGTTCCAGGATTCGGCTAATGCTTTTCCTTCTTCACAACTGATTACTCTAAAGAAAAAACACGCACACAGGGACAGCAGGGCAGTCAGTCAGTTAGATTAGTTAGAGTTCAATTAATAAGAAACCTGCTCTTATAAACTCTTCCATTTGTAAGGTATTTTTGCATGGACACACAAACAAGCACAGGCAAGTATAACTAGACTGGCTTGGTAAAAATGGCTCCCCCCTTCTTTTGGGTCATCTGTGAACCACATATTAACATGTGCTCTGTATTTCTGTTTGTGTGTCACATGTTGGGCATGTTTAATTTGCAATCATACCGCAGAGAGCCCACAAAATTCTGAAAAAAATTATACAGAAATAATGACTAAAACTGGCAAATGCTATTCCACATGCATATGTATATGTATGTGACCTAATATACAATTTAGGTGTGTGCTAGGACATACCGCTCCATATGTAGGTCGTTCTTGTTTCCGACCAGCATAATTGGTACTCTGCACGAGAGGGAAAAGTCAAAAGCACACTGTCATTTGTGCATGATATATTACATACGTCTTGGAATGCCTTGGATAGCAAAAGAAGTACTTACTGAACTTTTCCCACCATGTCCAATAGTTTTTCATGGATAACTTGTACAACTTCAAAGCTGGAAGAAACGAGGGCAAAGTTCCTACTTCAGCATTCAGGAACTGTACGCGGCTTGACGCATTATACAGAACTTGACTTAATTTGTTTGCCTTTAAAATGGGGGTATTACCTTTTATTAGATGTGACTGAATAGACCAGAATGTAACCGTTGATATCTATGGAGTAGGTCTGTGGGAAGATAGAGTACTCATCCTGTAGGAACAGAAATTGTGAGGAAATTAGTATGCCATGTTACAGGTTTAGATTAGAAAGAATGAAAAGTAAATGAATGAAGCAGAGTTAACACTGGACCAAACAATGAAAGAACATCATCATAACATCACATATTCACATGAAACTCAATAACCCGAGTCATACCTGTCCTGCTGTGTCTACCAGCTGAAGATGGTACTCTTGTCCATTTATTGTGATCATTTTAGTAAATGCTACAGTTAAAAGAGAAGACAAATTAGTAATCAACCAATAGAAGTTGCAAATTAAACATTTTAATCAGGGCTGCAATATGGATATGGTATTCAAATCACAGAAGCTGCAATTCCTTGATAATGGTAAAATGTGTGACCAAACTGCATTATATTTAAGTACTATAGTGCTGCAGAGATGCCCTGGGCTAAAAATCTTGTTATCCAGATGTAAGAAAACATGTTTGTTTCGTACAGACCACAACATCACATCATCATGATTTTAATAGGTTTTGTTTTTTACTGTGAAAGTGAAAATTGTGATGTAAAAATGATCATTCCCACTAGCTGTTAATGATATTGCAATCCTTATATCTGTCACTATAAATTCAATATGATTTTTTTTTTTTACCGTATCAAGCAGCTCTAGTTTTAATTGATGGATAGCAAGAAAGTTCCTCTTAAAATAACACAGGCAAATACAGACAATACAACACCACAGTATATCTCTACTATACAGTACTATACAGCCGACCGTACTGTATCTTCATTAGAGTGCAGATCTCGAGACATACAAGACACAACCCAGTTATGGATCCATTTTGGTACACTGAGTTCATTCAGCACAGGAATGTCAATATCTGCCTGGAGATGGGTCATATTTTCTACAGCGAGACAAGGGATCGCACAGCCTGCAGCATCTCGCTGATAACGCTGACACTTCACTTTATGTTAACCACCAAGAGACTATTTATAGATACAGACCACACACTCGAGAAACGCAGGGTGATATGTGAGCGAACATGTTGGGAAAAAGAGAAAAGGCCTACAGGGAAAGTTTAGACTCAAATCTCTGGAGTGTCTGGGAATATGTGTGTTTAGGAGGTTGATGAATTACTGTAAGTTCTCGCCTTCAGCAAAATGTCCTGTTTAAGTACCTTTCAAGTAAGGATCCCTATTAAGCCAGAGATGTTGAAATTCTGACCAAACACAACACCAGCTGATTTCTCAAAAGTTCCTCAAAAGAAAGTTTTCTTCTTTCTGGTTGAAAGTTTGGCAACTGGTGAAATCAGCTGGTGTAGTGTTTGAACACATTGGTTTAGAAGGAACATTGCACCCTGCTGGGTGGCTTCAGTGTTATCGTTCTTCTTCTCCCCCGTGAAATCATGTTATAGAGTTATCAGGATGCACAATTCAGATGTCTACATCGATGATAAAGCGTTTGAAAGACCAAAAAAAGAAAAGAAAAAGAGGTATAATGAAACATTTAGACAAAGATTATTTTCGATCCATCCATTAAGATCAATGTGAAAGATAAGCTAATATAACATATCGAATTGAAGTTGTGGTATTGTGTTAGGCCTACAAGGATTATCATTTTGACAATCAACTGAAAACAGCAAATGTTTTGATTATTAAAGCAATTTTCTAGTTCCAGCTTCTCAAATGAGAGGATTTGCTGTTTTTCTCTGTTTTATACTATTGTAAATTCAATATTTTTTATTTTCTGACGTTTTATAGACCAAACAATTAGATTAATTGACAATGAAAACAATCATTAATTGCAGTCATATAGTATAAGTTGCCTGAAAATGATGTACAACCACCTGTTATCATATTCAGGTCACGTGACAACAAATTCACCATCTTTATGGCACATGAGCGGTTCCATCCACTGAGTGGGGAGCACAGGGTGTAGCTGAAAGCTTTGGAAACACCGAATAAGGGGCCCTTGAGGTCTAAGAATAGAGGGTGTCGTATGTTGTTGAAATTGTAAAACCCTCTGGATTTCGGGTTCTATAAATAAAACTGACTAGACCTGACTTTGTGTAATTAAGAGCCTGATAACCCAACATGTGTTTACACATGAATAACTGATCGCCCACACAGGAGAAAACACTGAGCAGAGCAGGTAAAGTGTCAAAGGATAATACAGCCTATACATCACATACATGCACAACAAAGAGATGTAATGCACACTCAGGGTTTCCCACAGTGTTTCACAGCAGAGGTGGGCCACCTTGCCCGAAGACCACCTCTGCAAAGGTCATACAATAAAGAGCAGAGGTGCAATTGAATACACCAAAAGGCTATTATACGTATTGTGGCTATGAGAGATGCACTGGGACCTGAGTGGCTTTCCACCTCCACTACAACAGTTTCCTGTAGGAAACCCCTGCGGAGTGTAACAGACTTACTGTTTTCTATTGTTGGATCATAGGAGTCAACAAACTGGCCTTCCACAAACTGAATTGTCAAGGAAGACTTTCCTGCAACATACAAAGGAATATTGTTAACAGTGAGCCTTTACATGCTAGGAAATCACTGGAAATGTGGGAACAAATGGTCAAAAGCTCAAAAACAATGGCAAAATATGGGTTTGCAGTCCTTTGTAACTAGTGTTCATCGATCATGTATGTGGCTCAGGAGTATACTGATGAAGATGATAAAAATCGAAAAGGCTTAGAGGCTTATAACCAGATCCAAATGATAAATAAATAATATAGAATTCTTACAATCACTGTTAGAAAAATAAAATGACTTACTAAAGCCCACAGATAATACTGAGAGGTTTACTATATCAGCTCACTATATAGTCAACCATGAACCAAATACAAGTCTCTGTGGGAATATTACAGGGGTTTTCGTTGGCGCTAGTATGCTGGCTCGGGCCTCCAGTCGCGCTTATCTGTGTGTGCCATCTTGCCATCCTGAACATCCTTTCACCGCATACAAATTGCGCTTCTTTGGTTTCATATCGGATCAAATAAACTGCACAGTAATGCGTCAAATCCAGCGCTCCTTCAGGGCCTCCCCACGGAGAGCATGGCACTGTCTTAAAACCAGGGGGGTCTAGGGTCACTGATAGGATACAGTACATCAATTAGACCAGTTAGCGTGAATATATATATATATATATATATATATATATATATATACCTAGAACACATCATGGGAGGCCTCATGTGCTACAAACCCCCACCCCACCCCTACGAGGCCACGTCTCACCTGGTGGCGCTCTGAGACGGAGCGTTGTCAGATTCCACTCCCTATAATTTAAGTCTATTATAGGAGGCGTAAACCGCTCTTATAATGGATTTAAATTGACCCGAAAGGCCGCGGAAATTTAGCCCGTGCGTCGCATCCGAGGCCCTAAAGGTGTCATCCCCACCCACCACCTCAATCTCCTGCGTCCGTCCGCTCGGAACTCACCTACGGATCTGTACCCGAGGATGGCGATTTTTCGTGATTTCGGCTGCGGCATATCTCGTTCTGGTTATCGCATCTAGTCCTCGGGGTCTACCGCAACCTCCAACCGGAATGGCATCCAAAATTCAAGAGGCGCAGAGATTCGACATACAGCCTCCAAGATGCACAGATGCAGGGAATCCCTCTTCTTTGCTTCTGTTTGCTGGGGATTTCTCGGTCCACGGATTGGAAATAAAATGTTATTTCAGGTCACATAAGAAAAGCATGGAGTATCTACTGATCTACAATAACTGCGTCACTCCCCTTTGCGATGTAATGAATTAGTAATTACTGCTCCGTCCTAATTGGCTACGCGCGGGGCGGAGGAGGGCGTTCATGCCTGTTGTAAAACGCTGATTGGATGAGACGGGTGTTCGTCAAGCGACTGTGCCCGCTTTCTGGAATATGATTGGCTGCTTCGGGCATTATGACGTGCTTGGTGGTCGGGTGCAATGCCATTCATATCAGTAGGGTCAGGGAGCAGGGAGGCTGTGTCCTGGATGCTCCGACAATGATATGGTTTTCTTTTTACACAGATACATTGTAGTAAACCTGCAATGGCCGCTAGAAATACACAATATGGTAAAGAAAAATATTATTCTACATACTGTTCTTATAGTGCTTATATAGGAGTATAGGAGTAAAATAACCCTGAAAGAGCCTATAATAAGATCACTATACATTCATTATTTGCCAACGACACGTAATTATGGGCCATAGAAATATTACATAACCATTAGAAGGACAAATTATGAATATGGAACTTACTGTGTAGTACAAATACTCTTAATAACCATCAAATTACAAGCAGTGGTGGAAGAAATAGCATACTCAGAAGTATGGAAATACTCTTGTACAAGTAAAAGTCCTGAATTACCATCAATATGTAATGTAGTATTTTAGTGTTTTGCAGAATGGCCCATTTCAGAATAACGTATATTATATTACTAGATTATAATTACTGATGTACTATTCATCAGTTTTATATTACAGCTGATAAAGCTGGGCTAATTTCAATTTATAATAAATAAAGTAAAGTAAACATTAATTTCCTCTGAATTGTAGTGGAGTAAAACTATAAAGTAGCAGAAAATGGAAATACTCAAGTAAAGTACGAGTACCTCAATATTGTATATATGTACAGTAATTGTGTATATGTACTTAGTTACTTTCCCAGACTGATTACAGGAGAGTGCATACGTGATTTAATAGCATATCAAGTCTATACTAACAGTGGTGTAGAGTGTTTACTCAAATACTGTATTTAAGTACAATTTTAAGGTACTTGTATTGTCATTTTCTGGTACTTGTATTTCACAACATTTCAGAGGGAAACATCCTACTTCACCCTACTTCACTGCGTTTATTAGAGTTACTTGTAAATTAAGATACAACACATAATAATAAACAGAATAACCTACCAACTATATTTAAAATCGCATTATTTGTTTTTTACTTGACTATTTCCATTTTATGCAACTTTATACTTCTACTCCACAACATTTCAGATCCTAATATTGTACTACTACATTTGTCTGACAGCTTTAGTACTTCCTGTCCAGTATCTCTAAAGTTGGTGATTAAGATATTTGTCTCATTAACTGAAGGATTAAGTGTTCCTTTATGGGTGGAGAAAATTCAGCAATTCTTCCACTTCTCAAGCTAGATAAACTATTTAAAAGCTCTCCTGGATTAGCTGGAAAATACATTGTCACGAAGCTGAAAACAGGGTTGTTCTCACAGGACAACGCTACAAACATATGATCTTATGTATTGCTGTAGATTAAACTATGCTGAACGTATACAAAGTAACTAAAATTAGTGCAACCATACACATCTACAGCAGTAAAATTCAACATACACATTAATAAAGTTGTGATGGTAACCAAAAACATCATATGACCGAAAAACACAGATACAAGGACCATTTTTGTGTACTTTTACTTTTCATAAAAAATTTGGCTGATGATACGTACATACTTGAGGTTTGAATAGAGGATTTATAGTGGAATAAAGGATCTGAATTTGTGATATTGTCTTTATTTAATTCTTTATTTAAACAGTCTTATTGAGATCGGGATTTCTTTTTAAAGAGAGACCTGTGTCCAAAGGTAAACATATACAGTTTAAGCCTACAGAGGCACATACATTATAATTTTCATGCTTTCAAAAGCATTTACAAATGTGATTGCAGTAGTACAACCTTTTTAAAATGTATCTCATTTCATTTGCATGCATCATAGTATTTGAACCCACTTTTTTTTTCAAGTTCAGTGTGAACAAGTTATACAGCTAATGTTAAAATGCCCTGTGAATTGAAACTAGGGTAATAAAAAACTGTATTTACAATGTAAATATAGTATTTGGAGTAAATATCTTATATATATCAATAATAAAATTATAATAAAGTAATTTAAAACGTAACAAAATCCCAGCACTGTGACAAAGGCACCTGAACAGCATTTAAACCACGAAGTATGAAGAGGTATAAATCATAACTGTATAAAATGAAACATTCTGGAAATTTCACTTACTTTTTATAGGCTACTCAAAAATGTCTTCAGGAGTAGGGTTGTAATGGGGCAAATTAGACTTATGACCTTAATACTTCCAAATAATGGCTACAGCAAGAGAAATGACTAAAACTGTGCTATGACTACCCCAGACACTGAAGTATTAACACAAAAATGTTAGAGCTTAAGGTACAATAAGGGCTCTATGATCAGAGACAGAGTACACAAATAAACTGATATTACAGGAATTTTACCAGATTTGAATAAACAGGTTGGTCCACAGTAGAGAAAATCTACTGTAAAAAACCTTTCTCATAGATGTCCAGTAGATGTCCCCATAACACCACTTATATCTCACACAGGAGCCACTTACAGTACCAGTACCAGCACTGTAAGTGCTCAAATAACTATTATTTATTCCCATGGAAACATCATCTTCTAATTACTGTTTATTTCCATCTCGTGTTTTTTGGTTCACTGAAACACTGTACGTCAACAACCTCACACATAAATCTGAATGCACACATCCCTCATTATCTGAGCTGATAGCGAATTCCATTATAGACGTTAAAATACCCACGTCTTAATATAACCGTGGCCTTAAACCAAACCACAGGCATGCAACAATACCATAGGAACTCAGGCCACAATTAGTGGGTAAAGCCCATAGGCAGACACTGGAATTCAAGGCAGGCGTGGCGAAGGTGGTGAGATGATGAGGGTCCTCTTTGCTTTTAAACTCTAATGTTTCTTATGTGAGTGTCAATCACTGAGTTTGCTTGTCAGAGGTCTTTAAAGTGCTGAAATTTTAGTGATTTTTCATGCAGCTTAAATGCCAGTTTAGAGAGTTTTGGAGCAAAACTCTTGAAACAATTATACACTCACTCAAAAATAGCCCATAGACCCAAGGGTGTGCACTTTTTCTCGCCCTGTGACCAATGAAATCCCCTGTTTCCCCATCACGTCCTGGGCCATTACCACTTAATCACAGAACTGCCCAACTCCCCGTCAGTAAGACCCAACTGTTTTGCCGCCACACACACTTCTCAGCACTAGAGACAAGAAATCACTGGTGTCAGCAATAGGCGATTTGTTCTGCATGACATTGGGTGTCAAAAAAAAAAAAAAACCTCAACTGAAATGGCTGAAGGGTGCCTGCAATCACTGGATACACACGCACACACCAATACACACTCATACACATGAACGCTGTCAGTTTCTCTGCCTCATTCAATCTCTCTTGCACGCACACACACACCCACACACACTCAGGAAATTATGATGACCAAGAATAGGTCACACTGGTAATACAGCCATGTTCTAGCCAGGGATTACAGTGTGCTGACATAGGCCAACAATAAATACCCCCATGCAAGAACAACAGGTGTCTGACAAGATTGTTTCACTTTAATAAAAGGCTTACACAAGCCTCAGAGAAATAATACATTAAGCTCTTTTAGACATGTTGGCCTTTTATTGCTTCATCCCTTGTGATTGGAAAATGTCTTTTTTTCACCCCAACAATTAATCTCACAGAATCTCGCGTGCAATGAGAGAGAGATGTGATTAAGGTGGTGGTGTTGTGTGGGATTGTTAATGTCCTTAGATCGATATTCTTGTCACGAACCACGTTGCAGGTTAAAAAATTCACTTTAGATTTCCAGGCTCCAATTTCTTTAGCTGTGCGAGCTAGTGGACATGCAGCTGGAGCTTGTGTTTCTGAACCCTGGGTGTGTGGCACCGACGCTAGCCTCTTTCAACTCACTGTGAAAGCACCCCTGGCTCTGTTAGTATGCCAGCCTGAGCGCCAGCGGAGCGAGTCAGCCACATCCTCCAGCTGGGTCTGTGCCACCAACGGGCACCTGGACCCACTCGCAAACCTCATGAAACGGAATGCATATTTAACTCAGAGCAATGCATTTGTGTGGCATCTTTCACCAGTGAGTTTGTATGTCTTGCATGATGCCCCGGAGAACACCGGTTGCACCTTTATTTCTTTAGACTTTTATCTACCTATTGGATCCAACGCAGCCTTTTTTAACTGGCGGATACACACTTCAGGCTGTGCCTCAGCTGTTGGATTGTGTCCAGAGTCACAGAGGCCTGAAAGACAGCCATCGTTATCCAACTCTCACAAGGTGTCATTGTAGGGATCCAATGATTACCATATCAGCACCACATGAAACATTTATGGCTTGCTGGCAGTGATGGCCTGGCAAGAATCCTAATTTCCAGAACAGAGATTGTCAGATGCTATTGTTTCAAGGTCTGGTGACATGAACAGAAACTGTACAGTCACTTGTGGTGAAAAAAAGAAAAACAACAACAACTTTCTCCACCAAACAAACCACCAAAGTCTAGTTTAAGTAGGCAACCCACTTGCTGCACTCCATTGTACATTATTGAACAGCCAGTGCTCCTCCACTGCTTTTGCTCTGCTGCCCTGCTGCTGCCCTGCTCATTTGCTAATCCTGTGATGCAAACTCTTGCTGCTACCATGACCACTTATATGTTATGTAGTATTTATTAAGCAACTCAACTGTATAATCTGATCATAGAGCTTTGGGATTAGCCTGATAATCAGACTGATCTGAAAAGATCTGAGATGTGAGCAGAAATTCAGTGATCTGGAATCAGGTGCCAAGTCAGTCCCAGACTCCATTTGCTGTCACATATGCAGCCATACGGCGTAATTCGAGCCACAAACTGAGTGTCCTTTCTGTGTTGTCTGGACTTTGGGAATCCCTGCTTCGCTTCACCAACAA